TGGCAGGGCAGGAACTAGGCTGTCCATCTACACAGTCTAACTCTCTCCCTGGGCACATCAAACCAGCAGAAGTGACCCAGACCCGGTCTCTAAAACGTCCCATAGACCTGCCTCATTCTATCTTTCTGTGCGGCTGCGACCAAAGGCCTCCCATGCCGCAGAGTTGAACATGGAGCAGCCAGACCCCTTACACCACCACTTGGAAGGGAGTGATCGGGTGAGCCTCCTACCCTCACCTATGACCAGATGAAGTAACCAACTTCCCTGGTGGTAAGTCATTGAGCTTTGGGCACTGCTTTTACAGAAGTTAACAAGCGCTACCCTAATATACTACTATCCTTTTCAGAGACGGATTTCCTGTCTTCTTTGCAATTTCTTTCCAATGATTCCTTTCTGCTCCGCAGCATGTAATCCTGTTGCTTTCCTCCACAGTCCCCGATGGATCGACTGCGAGTAATAATGTAAATACCCAGCTGGAGAATGAGGACTAAGGAGGTGAAAGCATGTTCTCTCTTGAGACTGCAGATGTTTATGGTATCGACACTTTATCAGCCAACAAATAAATGCTCAGCACTAACATTTAAGAGGAACAAAGTAAGTATTAATTACAGATTCTGCCCATTTATCATTTGAGAAAAAACACAAACAAAAACACGCCCTCAAGCTTCCTTACTGCAGACCCTCTGCCAGGCAGTGCAGATGCAAACACAGACGAGAGGTGGTCCACGCCTCTGTAGACCCGCGGCCCATGCTGTTGGGGAGCTCCCTGCGTTGTGGAGAAATCAAGACACGCCCGTGGGCAGTGGCCATGCTACCACTCTCCTGAAGTGAAAGTAGGACATATGCCTGATGGGTTCCGTCCTTGGCCCTCTTCACTTTATATAATCTTCCTGGCTGACTCATCTATTCTTTCATGGTTCTGACTATCACTCATGGTTCTCTAATCTATTGTCTCTCATCCTCGCTTCTCCACTGAGTTCCAGGCCTATATTTCTAATTGGGACACCACCTGGGTGCCCCACAGGCCTCTCATATTCAACACATCGAGAACCAAACTCATTCTCCTGCCCCCCAACCTGCTCTCCACCCTGTGTCCTCTCTCTGAGTTGGTGGAGCAGTTGGCTACCCAGCGAGCTAGGAGTCCCAGTGACCTGACTTTTCCCATTCCCCATTCCCGTCCCCATTCCCTTTCATACACTGGTCACCAAGATCCATCACTTCCTCCTCAGAAATGTTTCTACGCTGTCTCTTGTCAATCCACCCCTCTGTGCTCTCCAGCAGCCCCCTGACTGACCCCTCTCTCGCAGCACGTCGCCCCCAGTGCACTGTCTACCCTGCTGCTAATCAATACTCCCACCCTAAGATCCAGTTTCATTCTTCTGCTAAGGTTTCTTCACTGGCTCCCCATGGTCTTCAAGATGAAGTTCAAACTTCTCAGTCCTACGTATAAGACACTTCACAATCTTACTCCATCCACTTCCCATGTTCACCTTTGTGAGTATAAACAGAAAACTAAATTCTTCTGATCTTTGCCTCTAATTCGTCCGTCTTTACTGATTGGTCCTCTGAAATTCCAACCAGTTTTCTGCTCCCCATTTTGTGATCAACTCCAAGAAGACCTAACATTTCAGCTCCTTCAATCACCATCTAGAGCAGGGGTGGGCAAACTTTTTGACTCGAGGGCCACAATGGGTTCTTAAACTGGACCGGAGGGCCGGAACAAAAGCATGGATGGAGTGTTTGTGTGAACTAATATAAATTCAAAGTAAACATCATTACATAAAAGGGTACGGTCTTTTTTTTTTTTAGTTTTATTCATTTCAAACAGGCCGGATCCGGCCCGCGGGCCGTAGTTTGCCCACGGCTGATCTAGAGTCTTCTCATTCTGGTGGGATCACCCCTGTTGGCCCTGGTCTATCTGCAGAAGACCACCCTTCATCCCCCCTGGCTTCTTTGTGAATGAGCATCACCCCCTGTGTCCTTATAACCAACCTGTAACCCTTTTATCTCTGCCACGAATTTCCAGGAGGTCATTTTCTCAAGGTAGTCGCATCACTCGCGTTCATCTACATTTTAATGTGAGATTTTAGAGTTGAATAAAGCTCAGAAGTAACTTAGTTAAGCACCGTTTCCTATGCATAAAAGCTTGATGTAACTCATGAGAAAGTTTCCAACACCTTAAGGACATGGGAGTCACTGCTCCAGAGAAGACAGTCAGTCTTTCCATGTCTCCAGCTGTCAACAGCTCCTGCCCTGCACCGAAATGCACTCCCCTCCCTGTGACATCCACTCCTGGCTCTCATTTTATCCGGCCACACAGAGCAAGCTTCCAGTCCCTTCTGGAGACGTGTCCCGGGCTCCTGTTCCACGTCCTCTTCCCCTGGACCAGGTCCTCCGACCCCTCCTCAGGTCAAGTTCAGTGACCGAGCCGGTGGCTCATGGGACTGAAATAAGCAGACTGTGGACCCGTCACCTTCCCACTGAGGCCTTCAGCTCCTCGAGGCCGACCTCACCAATCAGGATGCTCTCCTGGTGGCACCTGAAAAGAACACCTAACAGATGGGCCTGCAGGGTACAACCACCAAATAACTGGGCTTCTAGAAACTGACAGCATTTTGAAAAACTCTGTAAAGGGAGTCAAGGCACGAATACTCAGAATTTTGCATTTGAAAAGTAAATACAGTCCTTTCTGGCACCCAGAATATTCCCGTAGATGTCAAAGGAACCCCTTTAGATAACTACACATCTAGAGTTGCCCTAAAAAGTTTACATGGCAAATGCATTGGGCTCTGCATGTTTCTAATTCCTGTGGAACACAGGGGAATTGCGAGTCTCCTCCCTGAGAACCCTGGCACGTGTCTGTCTCACAGACATGCCACCTCTGCTGTGATGGCACCCAGAATATTCCTATAGATGTCAAAGGAACCCCTTTAGATAACTACACATCTAGAGTTGCCCTAAAAAGTTTACATGGCAAATGCATTGGGCTCTGCATGTTTCTAATTCCTGTGGAACACAGGGGAATTGCGAGTCTCCTCCCTGAGAACCCTGGCACGTGTCTGTCTCACAGACATGCCACCTCTGCTGTGATGGGCTGGGTTGTGGCCTCCCCAGTGTGTGTGTGTGTGTGTGTGTGTGTGTGTCGGTTGTGGCCTCCCCAATGTGTGTGTGTGTGTATCATTTTATTGATTTCAGAAAGGAAGGGAGAGAAAGAGACATAGAATCATCAATGATGAGAATCATTGGTTGGCTGCCTCCTGCATGCCCCCTACTGGGGATTGAGCCCACAACCGGGCATGGGCCCTTGATGGGAATCAAACCCGGGACCCTTCAGTCTGCAGGCCAACAATCTATCCACTGAGCCAAACCACCAGGGCCCCAGTTTTCCTTTCTGATTCGCTTTAAGTAGCACTGATTTCTGCTCTCCATCTTTTTGCCCATCGTTGGTAACCTTTTCCATCTGAGCCTTCCTTTCTCCACCTTTTTGTCCTGAGGACAGCATCTTTGCCCAAGTTACTTTGCAGGTCTGATCCAGAGGAATGCCCTTCAAACACACAGCACAGCCTATCTCCTTCCCCACGTGTGGAACTGGGGCCGGACTACTTAGAGTGGTTTCTGCCTGGCCGCTTCCCCTGCACAGGCAACCACTTCCCTACGATGGCGGCACTGGCCAAACAACCGTCCACAGTCAGCTAATTGTAGGCTCACGGGGCCACTTGTTTCTAACCTGGCCACTAGTGAGGTGTGATTATGCAGAAATTTATCCTTTCCTCCCCTGAGTTACCAAAACACAGCCAATCCCCCATCTGATTTCCCTGGGTCCTTTTACAAAATCCACAGAAGCTGTTCATTCCTTTATTTCCTTTCCAATCTGTACCCATCCCTTTCTGGACCACAGCAGTGTGGCTATATGATGCGCTGGCCCAAGGTATATGCACTTGAATTAAGTCAACCCTCCAATAAGGGTTGATTATTCACAATAAAGAGTTGATTTTTAATAATTATTACTTCATCCATTCTGTAAGTCATAAAGTTAAGGCAGCAGAACCATTGATTTGCCAAAATCACACTCATGGTTGAGTGAAACGAAATCCTAAGTAGCCAATTCAAGTTTTCCCTGGGTACTGAGTTTCCCAGGGAGGGTGAAAATTAGCCTATAACCTCATTTGCCTTTAAACCTTAAATATTCCCCCAAATTGTTAACACATGGTTTCTTGAAAGCTACAACAAAACATAATTTCTTTTAAAAACTGGCATCAAGTATTTACTTTTTCCCTACAATTCATGTGGTTTCTCTTTTTCATTCCTATGTTTTATTCCAATGTCCTTGTTCAACCAACACTTATAGAGCATGAAATATGTGCTCAATTTTAAGTTCCCTCCAGTCCACCAAAGAGGAACAGTAACTCAAAGTAATGAGTTGGCGTTTATGGAGAAATTGCTATTAATAAGGATTAGATATATATTTGCTTTGAGAAGAACTCGGACACTTCTAGGTTTCAAGAAATTTGCCTTCCAATTAAACGCTGCCACATTCCCCAGAAGCTCTTTGCAATGGCACCGTTCAGCATTAAGCTCTCCAGTTCTCAGCCATCTCTCCCGTAATTGTCCTAAGTGGAGCTAATGAATGGGAAGGATTCCTGATTCTCAGAGGTCCTGACTCACCAGTGATTTCCCAGCTCTCCTGGGTCTCTACCCTCTTCAGGGGCCTCAGGCGGTTCCTTCATGGTTAGCATATAAAAGGTAAGTAAAGCTTGGAGCCAGATAAAGCTGGATTAATGATGCAAATGGAAGGAAGGAAAGAAATAAAAAACTAACAGAGCAAAAGAAACATTCAGGGCATTGCTAAGCAGCGGGCCATAGCCACCAAGAAACGAGATGGAAGAACTACGGGACACCCGAAGCGCTCTGTCAGGGTGTAGAGGATAAAGGCTGTGTGCAGGGGCAAGGACCAAGAAGAGGAACCGGCCAGCGGCTAAGATGCTCACATCTCCACTCACCCAACACCAGCAGCTCCACCGAGTCCTCGTTTTTGCCCTCCAGGTCATCGGGGGTGGTGATGATACAGTAATAGAGTCCACTGTCTCCCCACATGAGTTTTCCAATTTGAAGATCTGCATCTGTTATCACAGAAAGAAGAACCCAATGATACACCTGGCCTCTGAGAAGAGCAATAAACAATGTGGGAATGAGGGGGCCCTTGGGGCGTGTCCTGTTTACCTGGATGGTGGTTGACAAGATGTTTGACTTATCTAAACAAACATCCTAATATATAAAAAGCCAGGGGCTGTCACAACCGAAACAACCAGATGAATGATCTAACAGCAGGTTGCGTGGGGTGACCAGGCTGGCAGGGGGGGCAGCTGGGGGCGACCAGGCCAGCAGGGAGGGCAGTAAGGGACAACCAGGCTGGTGGGGGGGCAGTTAGGGGCGATCAGGCAGGCAGGCAGGTGAGCAGTTAGGAGCCAGCGGTCCAGGATTGTGAGAGGGATGTCTGACTGCCGGTTTAGGCCCGATCCTAAACTGGCAGTTGGGCATCCCCTGAGGGGTCCCGGATTGGAGAGGTTACAGGATGGGCTGAGGGGAACACCCCCATGCACAAATTTCGTGCACCGGGCCTCTAGTTACAGGATGGGCTGAGGGAAACACCCCCATGCACAAATTTCGTGCACCAGGCCTCTAGTACAAAATAAAAACCCAGTATCCCTGAGGCTAGAGTCCGGGAGCCCCAGCAGAATCGGTCTTGTTCCAGGTCGAGGCCAGGAACAGAAGACCAAGCAACCAAGCGGGTGCAGAGTACCCGAGAGCCAGGTACATTCTAGAATTACCTGGACTACTGCAAAGGAGCTGGCTTCACAGCAGTTCTTCAAAATGCAAATTACCCACTAGATCAAATCAGACTCTTAGGGCCCTTTCTTGTCCAAAGCTGCAGGGAGCAGGAGCAAGGGTGGCAGTGAGAGAAAACCACCCGGGGCGTGGCCATGGCAGCCGCCTGGCTCAGGACCCCACAGGCGTGCAGCCCTTCTCCCAGGGAGGAGTCTGCTTCCTAAGTTCAGGAAAGGCCCTGCAGACTGATGTCAAGGTGTCTGACAGAGGCAGTTCTTTTGCTAGAACCTATTTAATTTCGATTCTGACAGCAAGGCCCTCCAAATGGAGGGCAAGTCAGGAAGGACAGTTCCCCAAGCTCAGCTCCGTCTGCTCTGGCTGTCACATGCTCCTCCCCACGAGCCCATGAAAGCAAGTCGATGGGGTTCTTGCTGCTCCCATGTCCCAGAAAATCAGTCTTGAGGGGCTGCGAGGCTGGGAGGCCAGCATCCCTAGGTCATGGAAGACTGGTACTAAGGTCCCTCCCATCCTAATTCAAAGCAGAGGCTTGATTACCGTGGACGATGGTGACCTCTCGGCCCCTGTAGAAGTCTCCCAGGGTGACGGTCGAGCCCTGTTTTGAAGCGACCACTCGAACGGTCCTCCTGCTGTCCAAGCAGTCCAGGTAGGGGTCCCACTCCAGGTTTCTCTTGCTGAGAGACTGGGCCCGGGGAGAGGCCATGCCCAGGGACTCCCCCATGCGATCCTGGCAGTAGGACTTGAACTTCCACTGCACGACGGCGGGCTGGCGGGAGGACGTGGAGAAGTGGCAGCGGAGCAGTGTGGGCTGGAAGAGCATGGCCACCTGCTTCTTGTCGGGCACTGTGACCTGGAGACCACCTGCCAGGGCTGCAACACAGAGGGAAATGTCCATACAGCATCGGTACCCAGAACGTCACACACAGCGTGTGGGCGTGCCCTCCTGCCTCACCCCCCTCACCTGCCCCCCCGCCCCGTTTTCTCCTTCAAGTTAATGGCATCAGTCGCCATCCAGTCGCCTTGTTCAGAAACCTGCCATCGCTCCCAATACCCAACCAGTCACTAAGTCACGTCAATGTGATCTCAGCATTCTTATTACGCCTCCCCGCCTTCTCACCCACTTCTCAAATGCCCTCCTCCGGTCTTGCGTGTACGATTGCAATAATCTCTTGTCTGTCCCTTGCTGCAGCTGCTCACAGGCAGTGCCTCCTCTTTAGTTCAGGTGAACTTTCTACAACTGACTGTTAGGGTTCTCCTTAAAACCCCCCACTCCTCCTCCTTGGCCTTCAGAATTGTTGGCAAGGCATTTAGGGCTCTCTCTCCATCACCCAGTCCCTCCTACCTCCTTCACTTCCTGCAGCACCTCTGAGCGCCATGTGCCCCAGATGCGATTTCACACCTGTTGCTCCTTGTTTCTGGGATGCTTTTGCCTCACTTCTTTCCCTGGAAACTTCCTTCCACTTTTCAAAACCCAGTTCAAAAGCCGCCTGTGACCAATCAGTGCATTGGTCACTTCCTCCCTGGCCGTCAGTCTCCCCCGCGTTCTCCTGTAGACATGTGTTATAGGACCTTTGCAAGGATCTGTGTCCATACCTGCCATGCCCGTCAGACTTAGCCTGCTGTCCGGGCCTGTGAAGCCCGTAGGTACTCGGCACATATCTGATAAATGAGGCCAGTGAAGACAGGAAGTGTGCTTCAGGGGAAGTGACTTCCCTTCCAGCTGGTGACCAAGCAAAGGGGTCAGAGATGAAGGGGAATGAAGACTTTGAGAGAAATGGAGAATTTCAGATCAGAAGCAGTGGACTAAGTTCAAAAGCTCTGAAGGATGATCTAAAGTGGAGGTGGGATGGGAGGGAGGGGAGAAAGCAGATGAGAAGTTTCAGTGGTGAAAAGACACAACCTGAGGCTTAGTGTCCAAGGAGGAGGGAAATTTCAGTGAATGAAAGACCAGGGAGCATCTGGGAGGCAGAGGACCTCTATGAACTCAATGGTAAGATCTAGAAATGCCAAGCAAAGAGGACATCACTTCCTCAGGTGAACGGGAGGAGAGTCAAGAGTTTCTAGCTCAATGTGAGATTAGAAGCAGATACAGACTTATGATAAGCAGAAAAAAAGGAAGATTAGTGCAAAGACATGAATAGAAGGAGGTTCAGAAATGAAGCCAGGAGCCTGCCAATCAGCTTCCGGTTGCTTGGGGCAGTTTCACTAGAGAACTACAGGTGGACTTGAGCCACGCAGGAAAGCCTTCTGCGTGGGTGCCTTCTGTCCTTTATTGCTGCCAACGTTCACTGTGACTCTGCAAAGCAAAGCCACTCTCCAGCTCAGCCATACACTATTGAGAGGTGTTTATAGAAACACCTTGGCCCCAGTAGCCTAATGGATAAGGCATTGGCCTCCTATAGAAACACCTTGGATGAGGGCAAGATATGGTATTTGGGCCGATGTCTCCAGATCTCCAGGAGGGCCTCTGTGAATGCATGGGGAGAAACTAGCTTCTAATCCCTGTGAGGAGAAAAGGGCTCTGCTCTCCGTGGAACTGGGAAGCGAACACAACACAGTGCTTGAGATTTAGGAAATCTTCAAGTGCTTTGAGTCTACCAAGCGCTCAATGGCCGCCGATGGGATAACTGAAGGGCTGGAAGAGCAAGTGAATGCCGATTCATGTGGGAATTTCTAGAACTCTGCAGGGGAAACTGGTTAAATGAGCCCTGAATGCCATGCATGGCCCAACAAAATAGTACTGGTGTCAAAAGATAGGGCCTGGAACCTTATCTGGCTGTAGAGTAGTGGTAAGGCCCCGGGCAATCCCTACCTGTAAAATGAGCCTCAGAATTCTCACTCACTGGGTTGTTAACCATTGTCACCTCCTGGGTCCCCTGCAGAGTGGACCATGCAGAGCCCTGTGACCATGGCCTATAGAGGGTAGTTCTCACATACTCATCCGTCCCTTGCCTGCAATGCTGAGGTTCCCACATCTTGATGACCATCCAGCATCAGTAGGTCTGACTACAGCCAGACTGTGTAGACCAGCTCCATCCAGGTGTGAAGAGTTCCCACCTGGGAACTCACTTGAGAGCCCCAGCTCCCAGGCTCCACTGCTGCCCTCCCCACCCCCCATCTCCCCCACTCCCCCACTCCCGGTACGGATGGGCTAATGCCCTTCTCCCGGACTCACACAGCTGGATTAGGAAAATTCTTTACATTTCCTCCTTAAATTCCACTGCACTACTCTAACCTTATGATTCTTCTTCCAGTCCTATTCACCTCCCAATTTTCCAGGTACCCCAAATGGGAAAGAGGGGTGAAGTGACTTGTTAGCAGTGGCCACGGTTGGGTAACCAGGGACGGGACGGTTCCCAGCACGGGGCTGTGTACTTGACCCCACCGCCTGTGGGCTCTGCTACCTATTCAGGCGAACTTGGGGAATCACATTTCCTAGCCTTTCTCGGATAAATAAAACCAGCAAAGGAGCAGGTGCAGCCAGAAGCACTGGGGGTTGTTTTATCAGAGTGTCAGGCATGGCGTTTTGTTCATCAGATGATTCCTAAGAATAACCTCCTTCCCAGCTCTGTTCGCTCAGAATGAGAGACCAAGCCGCTGGGCCCCTGTAATTATTAACAGGGGTCACTCAGTTCTCAGCTCCTGCTATGACATGGACATAAACTCCTCCCCAGAGAAGGAAAACATTCTCAGAATCATCTGCCTTATTACAGCCGGAGAGCTAAGGCGTGGATCTTACAGTCAACCCTAAACTAGAATCCCCTTGTTGTGCTGGAGTCTACACGGGCTAAGCAGAATGTCTTCGAATGCCAGGTAACTAAGTGCAGACATCTCCGCCTCTTGCAGTATTTATTCATCTGCATCCAAGCTAAGGGTCACTCTCTCCCTTAGTTCCTACTACTTAAGGCCTCGCCTCCCTCAAGCCTCATCTGCATGTTTAACCGGTACTTCAAATGAAGCATGTCTACACCTCATCTCTCATCGCCTCTGCTTCTACCCTTTGCTGGTTCTTCCTCTTCCAGCTCTTCGCCAGTCTACCCCCAACCTACTGCCTCAGAGAGAAATCATAATTCTGGTAATTTCCTCTCTGGCCCTGACCACACTCGGTTGGTCATTAAGGCTAAGCTCTCAAATTTGACCTTTCTCCATTCCCATGGTCATTCCCTAAGTCAGACATCTATCGCTGTTGCTCCATAATAGTTACAAAATGCTTCCCACGTGAGAAATTGTGTCCAGCACTAGCCATGTAGTACCTTAGTGAATTCTCTCAAAAACCCTATAGAGTAGATATTAATGTTATTATACCCCATTTTATGGATGAAGAAACTGATTCTTAGAGAATGCCGGCATCTTCCCAACGTCTCAGAGTTAGCAAGTGATGGTCAGCTTGAACCAGGCTGACTGGCTCCAAAGTTCTTAACCACCACCTCCCACAGGACCTCACGCTGTCCTGTTCTATAGCAGCCTCTTCCGTGGGGCCCTACTTCCAGCCTGATATGCTCTCCACGTTTCCTCTACCAAGACGTAGCTAACCCTCTGTTCCCTGCTTTCAGGCCTCTGTTCCCTCCCCATTCCTTCAGGATGAAACGCCAATGCCTGGACATGGCACATAAGGTCTTCCCCACCATCTGGCTCCAGGCACGCTCTGGACAAACAAAAATATTTCTCTCTTTAACTATAAATACTTATTCCCTTCCTCGGAGGACACAGTGGCGTGTAACTGGAGGAGTTCCTGGCACAGATGGAGAGAAGCCCCGAGCGTGGTCGTGCACGCACACGAGTAGGTGTGGGCACACTGCAGGGCTCTGGGTCCAAGAAGGTCTAAAGGACCAGTCCGTGATCTTGAGAAATTCAAGATAAACTTGGTTTCTAACTCTAAGGTCCCCGAGGGCAGGGACCAGTATTTGGTTGACAGTACTCAGTACACAGCCCAGCCCAGCTGAAGCTCATGCGATGTGGGGTGCATCAGTGAATGAAAGAACCAGGGAGGGGGGATCTGAAGGGCCTTTCTCAGCAGGTCCCCAGTGAAGAGAATGCGTGCTGGCCAGGGTCCAGGAAGGCTGCCTAGGAGGCGTGAGTGGCCGCTCCGAGCAGCAGCCCCATCTCAGTGAGTCACCCCAGGTACCTCCTCACCAGGCCAGGAAGATCAGCTCCAAGTGCAGACAGTGCCTCCCTGGATGGCAAAGTGAGGCCCTGGCCCAATTCTCACATACGGAAAAGGACTATGTACTTGAGAGATTAACAAAAGCGGGGTCTGAAGCAAGGCTGTTCTTATTTTAGCGCTTTCATTTTTTTCAAAGCAAGTTCCTTTTCCCCGCAAGTAGTAAGCTATTCCTGGCAGCATCTCTGTGAGGCAGATCTGTAAGCCCAGCCCCGCTGTAGAGAAGCAGCGCTTGCTGGAAAAGGTCATGGAAAATTAGCACTGTTAGCGACAGGCGTCTTCAGAACTATCTGCAGCTCACCCAGCCCTGAACTCTTCAAGCCCCAGAAGTAGGATCTGACCTCAGGACTGCCCCATCCCAGCATGCCTCGGCCTTCGGGTCTAAGATTTTCTTCTGGCCACTATGACAACACAAACCTTCCTTTTCCTGCCTCCAAGTTACATCTTCTTTAAGAAATTCATCTTCTGTCTCCACATGTGCAATATGTCCCAATTTCCTAAGACTGTTTTAGGGACGATTGATGGGCAGGTTTTCTAAGTGTCAGATGAGTAAGGTGTGTCCAAACAGCTGCTCCAGGTCTGTCCTGAGTCCAAACAAGGAGAGAAAGCCTGTCCATCCCCTGGCAGCATTGTGCAGGGAAGGAGCAAAGGGATGTTGACCTACAGGCTCAAGATTTTAAGGCAAAGAAAATGCAGCTTGACTCCCTCC